GTCCATTGTTTGCGATGCGCTCAACGTGCAGCAGCAGCGCGCGGACCCTCTGGGAACGCAAGGTGCAGATCTGCTCCTCCTATCCCCCGTATCAACCACAAAATACCCCCACTCTTCACAAAGCACTCGGCTTTAGGGAGAATTGCTTTATAATCACACAAGTCAGAGCTTTGCCCGCAACTCTCAGCGGAACTACGGGCAATTTTGACGTTGTTTTTACGCAATAACCAAACTGTACCACATTTGATTTTGGTGAAAGATAGCATTTTGTATTTTGTAATTAACGGTACAAATATATGCTTGACACATTTGAAAACATGTTGCTTTGAGCGTAAAATGCAAAGATGACGAGATAAGAAGTGGAGTGCGTGTGGAGATCGCTATCTGTCAACGCCTCGAAGCGGTACGAATTTATGAATATACATTATGAAGCCTATTTTTACGCACGGAAATACGCGTTGAAGTGCGTTTTGTTAAGTTGCAGGACAGCTTGGTTGAATAAAATTAAGACCAATTTTTAAAAAGGAAAGATAAAATGCATTTATAGATTCAATATATATATAGCTTTATGGTTTGGATACGTTGCATTGACGCGTAAACATCGGCTATAAAAATTCTAAAAAATATCACAAGACGTGATTAAAAACTCAGCTGACTTCTAAACCTTTGCGCCAACTTGAAAAACACTTGCAGATATTACATAAACAATAATCATAATTTTAAAAAATAGTTTTAGAGATTTCTTACCGGGTTTAGTTTCCAAAATCTCGGAGTTGGCACGCACGCATGTCCTCTGGTCGCTGTGGCACTTTGAGGTTTGGGTAGGAAAAAAAAAAAAAAAAAAAAAGCAGGAGTAGCGTTTGGTGACGGGGCTGGGAGCTGTCCACGGTGCTGAATGGACTGAAGCAGCGCGCGCTACAAGTCACTTCTTCTCCTCCTCGAAGACCCCCGCCAATGACGCCCACCTCATCTCTCCTCGCATCGGATATACGCAGGAGCTGGCAAAGTGCACGGGTTCTTGTGAATGGGCACGAAAAGTCGAGAAAAAAAGAGTTGGAATTCCAGTGAAGAAGTTGCGTGAATGAGACGAGGCAATCAGTTTTTGGAGATGTTACGCGTGCCCCGTGTTTATGAGCGTCATGTGATCCACGGTGAGGGGCGCGAGGCACAGGACACGCCCCCCCTCCCATCGGGTGGTCAGTCGGTCCACGGTGCGCCTCTGGATGATTGCAAGAGTTGGTCTGTGTCTTATCTCGGTTAAAGAGGGGCGCTTTTCTTTGGGGAGGTGGGATTGAGTCGGGATTATGAACAAGTCCGGGCACGAGGGCGCGAGTGTGCGTCAGTCCCGGCGGGGTTCGCGCGCAGACCGGCCCGTGAACCGGAGGAGGGACGTGAAAAGAGACGCACAGCTCAAGTCCTGTGGAGACATGCCCCACGCAACCTTTAGCCCCGTTATATGCTTTATTTGGTGTACACCACATTGTTTTGCAGGCGCTCTTCACTTGGGAAGGCATGTTTTTATTCTAAAATATAAGTGCTATAAACTTCAAGTAGCAGTAATGATAACACATAATACTTATATAGAGTGTTTCACAGCGGTGGAAGACAAAAAAAAAAAAAAAAACACGCAGTAAAAGTATACATTTTAGGTAACTGTATATTATTGAAGTACATTTTAAAGTAGACTCTTTTTACTTTCACTTCACTACATTCGGGAGCAGGTATCTGTACTTTCTACACCACTACACTTTTTAACTGGACTGATTCATCTGCCAGTTTCACTTCGTGGAAACCGTCTGACCCCGTAGCATTAGAATTCGTTTGTTTGGCAGTAGATGGGTACTTTTTTATTTAACCAATCGCTGCTATTTGGTCGTGACGTATGTAATGCACCACTAATGGGGCTAACTGGTATATTTTTTTTCCCCAAATCCCATAGGAAGAAGGACAATAACATCTTTACCCTTGATAAAAGTCACCAAACATTCTCTTTGTTCCGGCTTTAAAGCCTTGATATCAGGAATCATTGTCAACACAGAATATATGACTCTTTGCTGATTGGCTGGTGAACGAACTCGCACTTTCATTCTGATTCTTGACCTAGTCGCTGGAAAGAAATGAAATTAAGCGGCGGCACTAGGTGGTGTTTTTTTTTTTTTTTTTTTTTTTTTATTGTTTGAGACCTGCTAGTTAAAACAAACAAATTATACAAATAAAAACTATAGACTGAATTGTTTGTGTTGAGCAAAATTCAGCATAGAGCTGGGTCCGGTCAAGCGGTAACGGAGAGAAACGGGCAGATTTTTTACATTCAAATGTCTCTTATTCAGAAACTAGAGGGACTATTGAAATAAGTAAAGTATCAGAATGTAGGAAAGAGTTACACTCCAACAGGGTAAAGTTAAACCTGTGATATTCTTTCAAGTTGTTGACAAAAAATTTAAAAACTCATGTCGGTAACGGAGGGAATGAAATATGCAGCAATTTTTGGGCAATAAATACAAACTGATAACTAGTGGTTCTCACTTACATATCCTTAACAAACTGGTTTGAATATTTGCTTCATATAGTTTTCTACCATATGGTACAAGATTAGGTTGAAAAACCTCTTACTTTTTGAGTAATGAGATTTTTTATTAAGAAAGGTCATGGTAACGGAGGGAAAATTGTGCAAGTAGAAGGTGCATGATTTTGCATAATTTGTCAACTTTTTTCTTCCAAATACTTTAATATTACTTCAAAATGAAAGGAAACTATTTCTATAAAATATGTCAGTCCTTCCAAGCAAATTTTTATCATTTTAAATACATTTTTTTAAAAAAATCATGTACATTCATCAACAGTTCAAAGATCAAATAACACAAGATATGATGAAATACATCAATTTATTTACATGATTTGCAGGTCTTTGAAATTTGGGAAATAATTTTTGTTCCATGTTTCATACATGGTCTGTTTAAAATGTATGTAACTTTAGAACCAAAAATGGTACAGAAAAAAGGTAAACAGTTTCATAAACTAGAGTACATATACTATCTGTTGAATATATTTTTATATCAGATGCATTAACTTGAATTTTTGGCCTTGCTGTTTACTTCTGCTTGACCAGGCCCTACTGTATCAAAATCACCTCATCTGGAGCTTAATTAGATCTCAAACCCTGCGTGAAAAAGTTTTACATTTTACTCTTTAAATGCATTTTTAAATGGTCAAATTTTTATACAGTGCTTTTCCACCTTCAAGGCACTTTACATTAAGGATCACTCACCCATTAACACACAACTCATACACCAGTGTATGCAGACACTAGAGGCGAGGTGGGGCGAGGTGGGTTAAGTGTCTTGAGTGGCCAAGGGCTAAAAAACAACATTCGTCTGTTAATCACACTGCCAAACTGTGGGTCAGTGGACAAACGCTCTACCAACTGAACTGACATATTAAGTTTTGCTGACATTACTGACTTGGTGCACATAAAATTTGAACATTTTGTCACCTTTATATAACTGGAAATGTCAACACACATGGAAGATTGGGTTAGTGGCTGTCAAAAGTAAAGTGTGCAGGGCAGAATAAGGTGGATAGGGGGTAGGTGAAAAGATGAATTTTCAAGCCAGAGCAACTCAAATGCAAGACAATAAAAATGCTTGAACATGCATGAATCAGTCAAAATACAACTTTGTGTGAATTAATAATGAAAGAAAAACATTATAATATGGGCAAAAACTCTCAGAAGTCCACTTTAAAGGTCCCATATTACACTATTTCCTGATCTGTTACAGTTTTCTTCATCACAAACAGACCTGGAGCTGTGTTTTGTTTAATTCGCACATATTTAATACACAAATCCTACATAGAGAGTTCTTCCCTCAAATGGAAAACACTCTGTTCCACCTTGTGATGTCATGGAATAATACAGGAAGTGCGCTATTGTGTTTTTAAACTCCATGCACCTTCACTAGAAACATTTGGATAATTTCAACTCTGGAATTGCCAATCTCTGCTGAACAAAAGGTAAAAGTTAGCTGTTAACTTGACAACTACCACTACATGACATCACAAGGTGGAGCAGAGCATTTTGAGCTTTGGAGATGTAGACAGACTAAAAGGTTACTCAAACATGTGTGAATGAAACAAAACACATCTCCAGATATGTTTTATTAGCCTGATTCATCAGCCAGTTTCACTTTGTGGAAACTGTCTGACCTCACAGCATTAGTTTGCTTGACAGTAGGCGGGTACTTTTTTTATTAAACCAATCGATGCTATTTGCTCGTAATAGCTGTCATGTACCGCTAAAGGGGCAAACTGGTATATTAAGCTTTTCCCAAATCTCGTAGGTAAAATTGATAAAAATCACCAAACATTCTCTTTGTTCCGGCTTTAAATCCTCGATCTCGGGAATCGTTGACAACACAGAATATGTGGCTCTTCACTGAGTGGCTGGTGTCCAAACTCGCACTTCCGGGGTTCTTGCAAACCGTCTAGTGTATTCTGATTCCTGACCTAGTCGCTATAGAGAAATGAAATTGAGTGGAGTTTATATATATAATGTTTTATATGAGGTAACAACATTCTAATGGCTTAAAGCTCACGAGAGTCGGCTTTGCGCAATATAGGCCCTTTAAGAATGATATAAAATGCAAAACAAAATTTTAAAAGCTCATATTAAATAAGTTCATTAATTACCTCCTAAAATATAAACAAATAAACCGCAGAGCCTTGTTGCTATCGGTGCATAATTTAAACAAACATTTCCGAAGAGAGACACTGGCTCTGGTTTGGAATGAACAGGTTTTCTCCATAGGTCATCCACCTCATTACGGCGCTCTGGCAAAAGACCACAACTGTCTGTCAAAAATCACTCTTTCTCTGCACAGAAACACATGATTAAAACCACACATCTTGTTAAACAGGGAACTAAACCAAAGCAACATTTAATGAGACACAGGATGCAGAAAAAATACATGCATTTTTCCAACTCACCCAGAAACGAGCCAGACTTTTAATTAGAAAATGTTTATTACAGACTGTGTTATGCCCAGCACAAAGAACAGTTCATTAAGATACTTGAGAAATAGAACTTATTAAAGACGCACTGAGGAACTGGTTTGTCTCTATTGAAGTGTTAATGCTTTATCTGGAATGTTCCGCAGTGTATCTTTAAACTGATCTGACTTCATTGTAGTTGTTACCAGGTCAAGTTACAGGTTAGATCTGTGGAGAGGCGACACTGCCCAAGGTAAGAAAGCATGTTCAAGTTATTATCCAATAGTGATAAAAACGCTTGTAATGAAATAAAAGCCAGATAGAGTATTTTTTGGACTATAAATGGCACTTTTTTTCATAGTTTGGGTGGTCCTGAGACTTAAACTTCGGTGTGACTTATATATAAAAATTTTCACACTGACAGCCGCGAGAGGCGCTCTAGAATTCTGTGTCAGTATCTGCTGCTAAGAATACTTCTGTGTCACTGTCACTTTGCCCTATTGTGCATGTCTCCTGCAGAAAAAGCCGCTGTCTTGCTGCAAGTAGTGAAATATGCAGCACAAAACAGTAATCGAGCAGCAGAAAGAAAGTTTGGAGTGAGCAAGAAACTTGTGAGGGACTGGTGGAAAGCGGGGCTGGAGACACAACTTCACAGCAGCCGAGAGGGTGTGCCATTCAACTTTCCTGGAAGTCAGTGGATGGATCGACAAACCCTGAACTTCAATGACAACCAAAACCATCCTGTCGGGATTCAGAAAGGCCAGAATAATTCTAACTGGAACTGATGCTGAGTCTGATGGCAGCTACACAGAAGAGGAAGTGGCGCGCTGTTTACCTCCGAAGTTGCTCAGACGTGACACAGAGGATGAAGAATTGAATGGATTTAGTGATTTGGAGTGAGATGGAGAGTTTGGTCAACTTGTTCTGTTCTGTTGTTTATACTATAGTTCTCTGAAGAACTGTTCATATGTGACAGTCTGTTGTTCTCTGTTCTATTGTTATTACTGTAACTTGCCTTTCAAAATGAAATGTTGGTTCCTTGTCTCTGATTTTATCAAATAAATTTGCCCCAAAAAGTGCGACTTATAATCCGGTGCAACTTTTATATGTTTTTTTTCTTCTTCATTCTTCACGCATTTTTTGGCTGGTGCGACTTATAGTTTGAAAAATACGGTAGTTTAATGCCATACTGTGGAGCATTCTAGACAAACCAATAACATCACCATGGAGACCAGCAGGTGACAGAAAAGTTACACAGTGCACCTTTAGAAATTGAATACATAAACATACATAAGTAGGTAGCATGTTAAAATTATGCATGGTCTCTGTATATAGATAAAATATGGTATAAAGAATGTCACTGGAATAAGCTTTGAGTCTGTTCCCTTCATATCACAAACAATGTCAATTGATGAGTGGTATAGTATAGGTTCAATTATTTTTGGCTGGTAAGTAAGGAAAAGATTGTATATCAAAGGTTTCTACCAATTTCCATCATTGATCCTTTCATTAAATGTTGAATGCAAAAGAATTTATTTAAGGGGATTGCTAGAGAATCATTTGTGTTTTTATCAGCCGGGTCCAACTTCAACAAGATTTTGAGAGTAGCTGGATTGTTGAGTGTATTGTCCTTTTACTAGAATAGAAGTTTGTCCCTAAACGCAACCGGAAACATGCCTACCAGACTGTAAATCGGGATGAGGGGGCATACCACCTCTGGGATACAGGTGTGAAGAAGTTCCTGCTCTAAGTAGAAAGCCAGCGCCAGAATCAATTTAAATCAGCCATGTCACCACAATATCACGTGACAGTTCTGAGGAGGGAGCAGAGTGCGGCTGAAACCGTCGAGGTATGAAGCAAATAGAGGTCTGTACATGAGAATCTGAAGGATACTTTCCCCTTGAGTTTATTTTTTGCCTTTTCTAAAAATATTGGCACTTTGCAATCCTCCAGTGGGTGCTTCGTCAAATCATGATGTAAGCTCAGATCGGCAAAAAATGTGACAGTCGCTGATGGATTCGCTGTCCAGAACCTCCTCCATCCAAACAGAAAATAATCTATTAAACGTGTCCTTTGCTCGAATGCAAACAACCACATTAAAGGTGCATTGTGTAACTTTTCTGGTAGAGGACCCGCCACCTGTTTGTCTCCATGGAGATGTTATTGCTTTGCCAGGAATGTTCCACAGTGTGACGTTAAATTTTTCTAACTCCATGGAGACAGACAAGTTAGGGAAGCAAGTTAAGGTCAAGCAAGTTACAGGTCAGATCTGTGGAGAGGTAGACCCCAATCAAAACCCCTGTATTTGAATAAATGCTGGATAGATGTTTAACGCTATACTGGAGACTAGGTGTGGGCGATATCTCAATATTTAAAATGTATCGAGATATTTTTTAAACACGAAATGGATTCTGAAATATTGTATATATCGATAGAATGCTTACTGTATATTTAATTGTTTGCCTTCTCTGTACACGCCCACGCTCCCCAGCACAAGAAGCAAGCAGTTTTTTTCAGCGTTTACTGTTTATGCAAATGAGTCATGTGGTTTAAAGTTTAATTTCTGTAAAACGTAAACAAATGTGCGTAAAGCTGTATTAAACAGATTATAATCTCAAACGGGCTGATGTGGCTCTATAGTTATGCTTCATATGTTGTAAAGTTTAGTAATGTCAAGTTTATTTATACAGAAGATTTTAATTAACAATCTGCTGCAGTGTAGAACTTGTACAATAGTGTTTGGAAATGTTTGGTTTGATCTGCGCAGTGGAATATGGGATACTTCACAGCTCCTTACGCTGGTGAGGAACATGGATCTGTTCATGGTTCCTTTTTCGGACACACGTAAAATCTGTGTGACATTTATTTTCACTTATTATTATAGAAAAGAAATATTTACTTTTTGTGTTATATCTATGTATTTATGTTCTCTATGCATTACTGTCCGAATAAACATTCATTCATTCATTCATTCATGGTTCTGGTTATCATATGATTAACGGATTTAATGTAAAGATGAGGCTGAGTTGAGTTGTTTTATTTTTGAATGAAAAGAAGGCAATATGTATTATTTCTTGCTTTATTTTCCAGTTAAATTATAATTTTTTGTATTCAGGGATTTTTTTTTTTTTTTATTTCGCAGAAGGACTTAGTTTTCTACAATTGCCTGAACTCTATGCACTTTTTTTTTTTTTTTGGTCAATTTGGTATATTTGTTTTTGCAGTATTTTTGATATTTGAGATATATATCGTATATCGAGATATGTTGAGATAGCAAAATATATTAGATATATATACTGTGGACCATCAAAGGCAAAACAGTAATTTCTTTGAAAACAATCAGAACCAGAAAGGTTACACAATGCACCTTTAGAGAGGCTGTACTTCACTTTATCATGTTATTAGTCATTAATGAATTAGTTTTGCTCCAATACATATATACGTAAAAGCAGCTCTTAGGGTCAAGATTAGACAACTGCGTTCTGTCTGCATCTAATTATAGAGCGTTTGAACAATGAAGTGTAATGTTAGCATTACTGTGATGGCAAGACTCCACTCTCTGAAAGTTGTGAAAAGCACTTATGAACTCATTGTGAATGAAATGGAATAATTAACATGCTAGGAATATATTAAGAAAGTGAGGAATAATTTTGGATCTCAGCACATTGTGTACCTTTTCTAGTGAAGGTCCGTCAAATGCTTTTTTCCGTGGAGATGTTATTACTTTTGTTGAAATGTTTCACAGTGTGGTATTGAACCGTTCTATCTTCTATCAAACCAGAACAAGTTACAGTGGAGAGGTGACCCCGCTAACAGTCAGAATGCCGGTTTTTCTAGGTATTTTTGAGCTATAAAATGTAATAAATCTAAAGGTAGAGCTATTGAATGTCACGCTGTGGAACATTCTAAGCAGAGAAATGATATACTAAAAAAAAATAGCAGGTGATGGATCCTCTACCAGAAAAGTTACACAATTCAACTTTAAATTCTGTTAAGGTAAACTAATCACTGAGATAAAAACTAAAAACAGTTGAACCCAACCTTTACCATACCACTTCAATTAAAATCAAACTTCACAATACTTCAGATCAACACATAAAAAATACCAACTTTGTCAAAATGATTTTAAACTTCAGGCCTTTCGTCGTAGTTGATAATTGAATATACTATTGTTTATAAGGCAACTCAATAGGAACAAATGGCCAGTCAGTACAATGTAACTGACTGTAGCTCTTTAAAGTCTTAATATTAAAACTAAAAGAAGAAAAATATTGTTTCTTTGTCAATCCACCAGGACATAAACATCACATACAACCACCAGACGCTCAGATGCTTAAAACATTCAACTTATTTTACTCTTCCCCTGCTCCAATAACCTCTTCCTTCTCATCTGATTTGTCTCCACTGGCTTGCTCTTCTTCCTGGTTTGGTTTGTCCACGTCCTCTTCCTGTCTTTCCGCTTCCTGTTCGTCGTTGTCCATGTCTAGTTCTTCGAAAGACGATCCGCTGCTTCCCGTGGACACGTTGGACCCCCTGTGGACGGGCAGTTGGGGTTCTTCGCTCAGATCTGGGACGTCCCGTAGTGGGAGGGAGGAGGCCAGAGACGCAGCGGTGGAAGCGGCCAGCGATGTCTCTCTACTGTCCCAGGGGGCGCCACCGCTCACCGAGCTCACGTCGCTGTGGGAGTCTGCACCTGTGGGACCATGAGAGAAGAAAAGAAGAGAGGTAAGCAAGGAAAAACAATAGACTGTATAAAGAAGTGGACTAAGGGAGTGTGAGCAGTTATGGGGTGTGCCACAACACACTGCAGGATTTAAAACAGGCTTAAACGATTTTTAAACGTGCAACAAAAAGCGCACACCACAGACACAAGGAGAATCTTATGAGACTTAAAATCACCGATCACAAAGACTGCAGCGGGATATGGCTGTGAACTACAGGCTATAAAGCTTTAAGCGCGATGATGTCTACTGTTTCCTGTCTACAGTAAAACCACTCACTCTGAGACTCTTAATTGTTCAAAACATCAGAGCACTGCACTTCTAGTTTAGATACAAGTTAAAACTGTGTTATTATTGTTTGTGAAATGTGGTGCAATACTTTAGATTAGGGGCCATCAAATTAAGGCCCGTGGGCCCACTTTGGCCGTCCACGCCTCTTTGACCAGCCCCCCCGCTCTCTGCCCCACATCATTTGAACTGCCCTATGAGACAATCCTCAAAAGTTACTTTTTGGCAAATAATAACACGTCTGCATCTTGTATTTTGTTGATTTTTAAAAAAAATTAAAAAATGTATTTAAAAAGTATTTATATTTAAATAATTATGACATATTTACATTTGCCACAAAATTTTTGTCACCTGGCAAGATCGAGATCAAACAGGGACAATCAACACACGTGCAGAGTTCTGTAGAATACTGTAGAGAACTGCAGAGTACTGTAGAGAACTGCAGAGTACTGTAGAGAACTGCAGAGTACTGTAGAGTACTGTAGAGTACTGCAGAGTACTGTAGAGTACTGTAGAGTACTGCAGAGTACTGTAGAGTACTGCAGAGTACTGTAGAGTACTGTAGTGCAGTTGGTACAATAAATGGAATATCTGTGGTACTTCAAATTAAAACAAAGTGTGAAGTACTTACTACTTTTGCAAACCACTAGTAAAGATAAAGAAATATATGCCAGGAATTACGTGTCGATATAGTATTGTGAATGGCTGTTTCTACTTCACAATGTGGCCTGCTGGTGGTCATTTTGGTCAGGGTCATACAGTTATACGTCCTACCCGACCTTGCCCCCCATCACGGTCAGCGATAATGTGGCCCCCCCCCAAAAAAAAAAAAGTCTGGTGACCCCTGCTCTAGATACAGCTTTTTTTTTAGCTGCTTTAGATTTTAAAGCATAAAAGATTGGCAATAAAGTACACAGGAAGTAGAGTCATTATCACTAATCTGCAGCTTCACCTCGATCCGAGCGCTGTATGAATGTAAACAGACACGTGAGGAGCTTTTTACTTTCAAAGAATGTCTCAAAGTGGATTAATGGCGCAGTTTGTGGACTGGATGATATTATTTGTGGAGGACAATTTCTATGGATAATGTGGATGAGATGCTGCACTTATTACCAAATTAAATTTACCAGTTTACAAGAGATGAGGAATAGTCTTCTCATTATCTTCGCTATATCCCTAGTCTGTATGTTTTATCTCTGTGTCCGTCACTCCTTTGCCCCTGATGTTCTGTTTTATTGGCTGTTACTGTAGCGCTGCTGATGTTTGGTGACTCTATGACTCTGCTCAAAGTCACACTGACCACACACACATGAGCAGCGCAGTGGCTTCAAAATTATACGCAAAGACAAAAAGTTGGGTCACACCTCCCCAAACTCAGATAGAAGCAAATTACAGCCAGAATCGGGCAAATTCTCCTGTAGTGTGTGGCGGCTTTTAGGAACAATAATACCACGATAATGTAAAGTGGGTTGATAGGAACATTTTAAGACCAAAATGAAAAGAGTTTGTGTTTGTTTTTTCAATACAAAGTGAATTGGAGCCACAGTTGATGGAGCCGGAAGACCCAAAAACCATAAAGACAAAAACGTATAGGTAGTTTTCAATAATCTACTCAAACTTGATACTACAAGAGTGCATTTTTCCAAGATTAGGCAATGTTAAATTTACTTTGCTCCTGTATTTTTAGGTTTTCAGCCATATTATAGTTTTCTCATTCTAATACCGCATCAGTACATCATCTTATATCCAACAGGGCCCTTCCCAATGAACCTTAAGATCATCCGTTCAGAAGTGAACTGCCCAACCATCATTTTTAGTTTCATTAACACCCATTTTGTTCTTTTTTGGTTTGTTTTTTGCTATTGCATTCAAAATCAAACACAAACATGCTCTCTTTGTAAATGCATAACTTTATCTTAATACCCCAAATTGTCATATCCCCCTTTAACAAAAAAAAAAAAAAATCCTTTAAGATTTCTTGAAGGTGACATTTCATTTAGGTTCAAAATAACAAAACAACATTGCACAACTGGCATTTCGGATTAACAAATACTAACTTCAAAGGAATGTTCTTATAACTCTGAAAAACAATAAACTTCTAGCGACCAAAAATGCTTTTAGCTCTAATAAAGATACTACACGTTTACTGAAAAACACCTATTCATGTCATGGTAATTTCTTTGGACCCGTGACCCCGGTGTTAACTCTCTCAGTCGATCTGTTTGTCTTTGACCTTTGAACTGTGATTCGACTCGATAGCCATCCATTATCCTGTAGTATCAGCCGTCTCCACATCTCCATCGATCCCATGATTCTTAGGAGCTCGACACAGTGGTAAAAACAGATGCATTTTATTAGCTATGGCTGTAAGATTAATGAATTGAAATTGCAAACTGAATGGACATAATTAGCAAATCGCAAAATCCAAATTTAAAATAGCATCATTTCCCCCACAAGCAAAATATCCTGTTTTATTCTGCACAAACCTTGCAAACCCTGGAGTCTACAACTGTAAAAACATGTTCTGAAATGTGATTTTTGTATTAGTTTGTCAGTTCATGTTTAAGCCTTTTCGTCAATTCTTCTGGGCATGTTTAAAATGTGAACTTTTAATTAAATCCTAATATTAAAAGTCTCGTATTACACTATTTTCTGATCTATGTTCTAATGTTTCCTCATTTCAAACATATCTGGAGTTGTTTTTCGTTTCATTCGCACATGTTTAACACACAAATTTTGTATATTTAGTTCTTTCCTCAAACTGGAAACACTCCTTCCCTCTTTCCACCTTCACTAGAATCATTTGATTAAATTCAGCACTGGAATTGCCAATCTTTACTAAAGGTAAAAGGAGCTGTTAACTTAGAAACTACCACTTTGACATGACAAAGTGGAACAGAGCATTTTGAGATTTGTAAATGTAGACAGACTAAAAATGCAGGGTTACTTAAATGTGTGAATGAAACAAAACACAACTCCAGGTCTGTTTTTGAGGAGGTAACATTATAACACATCTTAAAGCTCACAAGAGTCAATTTTGTGTAATATAGGACCTTTAAATCATAAACCACAGATCAAAATCACGAGCGCGATGCTTGTCAGAAAAACTGCAATCACATATTTTCCCAAATCATTCAGCCCTGTTGTACATTGTATTAGACATAGGGGGCCTTTGTTGCTAGGCGTTGCTAAAATTACAAAAGCAATAAGCAGCAGGAGTAATAACTGTAGGACCACGGTGCACCTGCCACCCCCGACAACAGAGGAAAATGAGAGAAGCAAAAACTATTGAGGAGGATGTGTTCAGGACATTTGAACAGAATGAAAACAAAACATCTGAGAAAGAGCTGTACACAGAAAAGTTATTGGGGTGAGTGAGGATGTAATACCATTGATCAATATTAGATTGGAGAGAAATTGCGTGTTATTTATAATCTATCAAACTGTGAATATTTGGAGAGTTTATATGTATTTTATTTTATTTCGGACTATAAGTCGCTCCGGAGTATAAGCTGCACCAGCCAAAAAATGCATAATGAAGAAGAAAAAAGCATATATAAGTCGCACTGGATTATAACTTGCACTTTTTGGGGGAAATTTATTTTATAAAATCAGAGACAAGGAACCGACATTTCATCTTGAAAGGCAAGTTATAGTAATAACAATAGAATAGAGAACAATAGACTGTTAAAGTCACATATTCACACACTCTCAGTTCTTCAGATAAACTATAACATAAACAACAGAACAAGTTTACCAAGATCTCTATCTCACTTCAAATTTCTAAATTCATTGAATTCTTCATCCTCAGTGTCACTTTTGAGCAACTCTGTGACCTCTGGAGGTAAACGGTGTGTCACTTCCTCTTCTGTGTAGCTGTCATCAGACTCAGCATCAGTTCCAGTTAGAATTATTCCGGCATTTCTGAATCCCGATAGGATGGTTTCTGTTGTCACTGATGTCCAGGCTTTGTCGCTCCATCCAGTGACTTCCAGGAAAGTTACATGGTGCACCCTCCCAGTTGCCGTGAAGTTGTGTTCTCCATCCCCGCTTTCCACCAGTCCCTCACAAGTTTCTCGCTCACTCCAAATTTTCTTTCGGCTGCATATTTCACTACTTGTAGCAGGACAGGGGCTATTTCTACAGGAGGCATGCGCAGTAGAGGGCGAAGTGACAGTCGTACAGGAGTAATAGATACTGAGCGCCCTCTCACAGCTATGGTAATCATGTTTTTTTTTTTTGTTTGGTTTTGTTTTCGAAGTTATAAAATGATAAGTGAGACATTTTCAATACAATCACATTAAAGATCCAATATGGCGCAAAATTGACCCATGTGAGGTTAAAGCCTGCTTGGGTATCAAAAACATACTTGGAGTTGTGTTTTGTTTCATTCACACATATTTGAGTCATCCTTTATTATTAGTCTGTCTACATCTCCGAAGCTGAGAATGCTCTGTTCCACTTTGTGATGTCATGAAGCAGTAGTTTACAAGTTAGCAGTTACCTTCTACCTTCTACCTTCTAGGGCTGAAATCATCCAAATGATTCTGGTGAATATGCATGGAGTTTAAAAACACAGTAGGGTTCTTCCTGTATTACCACATGACATCACAAGGTGGAATAGAATGTTTTCTGTTTGAGAGAAATTGGGGTAAACGAAACAAAACAAAACTGCAGGTCTGTT